GGTGTGTGATGTTCCCCTCCCTATGTTCATGTGTTCTCATTGCTCAACTCCCACTTATGAGTGAGAATTTGCTGTGTTTGGTTTTCTGTTCCTGTGTTAGTTTGCTGAGGATGATGGTTTCCAGCTTCATCCGTGTCCCTGCAAAAGGACATGAACTCATTCTTTTTTATGGCTGCATAGTATTCCATGCTGTATATGTGCCACATTCTCTTTATCCAGTCTATCATTGATGGGGATTTGGGTTGGTTCCAAGTGTTTGCTATTGTAAACAGTGCTGCAATTAACATATGTATGCATGCATCTTTATAGTAGAATGATTTATAATCCTTTGGCTATATACCCAGTAATGGGATTGCTGGGTCAAATGGTATTTCTGGTTCTAGATCCTTGAGGAATTGCCACACTGTGTTCCACAATGGTTGAACTAATTTACAATCCCATCAACTGTATAAAAGCTTTCCTATTTCTCTGCATCCTCGCCAGCATCTGTTGTTTCCTGACTTTTTAATGATCACCGTTCTAACTGGTATGAGATGATATCTCATTGTGGTTTTGATTTGCATTTCTCTAATGACCAGTGATGATGAGCTTTTTTTCATGTTTGTTGGCCACATAAATGTCTTCTTTTGAGACGTGTCTGTTCATATCCTTTGCCCATCTTTTGATGTTTTTTTTTTTTTTATTTTGTTTAAGTTCTTTGTAGATTCTGGATAATAGTCCTTTGTCAGATGAATGGATTGCAAAAATTTTCTCACATTTTGTAGGTTGCCTGTTTAGTCTGATGATAGTTTCTTTTGGTGAGCAGAAGCTCTTCAATTTAATTAGATCCCATTTGTCAGTTTTGGCTTTTGTTGCAATTGCTTTTGGGATATGTGGTCACTCTACTTATGCAAGATTTTTCTGGGATATAGCCAATAATTAGCAAGATATGTACTGAATATCCTTTCCCTTTCTGGTGATTTCCAGCTGGCATCTGTTTTAATTGGTTGGTACATACACCGGATGATTGCTGCAGATTTTGATATCACATTTGCTAGAAACTACTCATGAGGGGGAGTTCTAGGGTCACATATCATAGATGTACTTAATAAGTTCGAGTTCCTGTTTATAGATGGTGGAATTTGAAAATGTCTATCTTCTCGTTTTTCAGGAGCTTTTGCATTTATACTGCATATTTATTCATCCTTTCTCTGTCAAACTATCTAGGTTGGAGCTTTAGTGGCCACTGATTTATTGACAACTACTCCTAGCGCCTTATCCCTGTAGAGCAACTACTGTGTGGTTTATAAAGAACTGTTTTCATATTTTATGTGTTGGACCCTAACACCCTTTGAGGTAGAGAGGGCAGAATTTATACTTCTTATTTTATGAAAAATGAAGCTGAGGATCCGAGGCAAACTGACTTGCTTCAGTCTACGTATCTGGTAAGTTATAAACTTAGAACCAAGTCTTTTGACTTTGATTTGCTTCTACAATATCTAAAAGAGATAGGGAAAAGGATAAATTTTGGGTTCTGGTTAAAGTAGGAACTGTCCAGGTTAGCTTTATGTCTTCTTCAGAACATAATGTATTGCCCAACACATAGTAAATGATTTGCTTCTGCAGTATCTCAAAGGGACAGGAAAAAGGAAAAACTCCAGTTTGTGATTGAAGCAGTGAGTGTCCAGTTTAACTTTATGTCTTCCTTAGATGATAACACAATGTCTGACACATAAGATTCAATTTTTATTGAGCAAGTGAACTGGGGATTATGTAGGTATCCGTAGGGCCCAGAGTTGGTCATGCCACTACTCAATGCTGTGGTGACGCTTTTTTATTGCAGCAATGCTTTAGCTTAGAGATAAGCCCAGTTCTGTAAATATTATGGCTGAACGAAGGGCTTCAGGTCAGTCCAGGAGTTCTCATGTTAAATAATTTGGTTCATTTACAACAGAAGCAGCAATGGGTTATAAATGCACCTACATAATATGACTTTGATGGGGTGTGTAGTAGATGGCCCTTGTTTGTTTGGTCAGTAAGATTTCCTCTACTCTTCCTTTTTTTGTACAGTTAGCTTTGAATAACCAGTAGCAAAGTTCTTTCTCTTGCTAACTTCTCTGTTGCACTCAGCTGCTTAACATTTGCTTCCTGTTCCCAAGATCACCAGAGGCAACTGTAGTGTTTGATGAGGATGTTGGATTTCATCAAAATATTTTCTCTACTTAGTTTGTTCCAGTTTGGGAGAGGTGGGTTGGCCTTGGCCCCCTTGTTCAAAGCTGCCAGAGTTTTGAAGTCATTTCAGAACCTTTGATAATTATGTTCTGTCTACTTTTCCACCTTATCTCAAATTGCTGTACCCTCTCCAGTACTTCCCACCTTCTCTGATACAAATTGAGGGTGCGCTAAGAAAATCATTTAGTAAGTGAAGCTACTATTTTTAATACCTGGCCCTTCAAAGAAGTTAAAATAGCATCTTCCAGAAGTAGCACCTTCTTCTTTATTCATTTAGAGAACAGGGTCTTGCTGTGTTGCCCAGCCAGATCACAAACTCCAGAAGTAGCGCTTTCTATCACGTGTCTTTTAATTTTATTATTTTAGAGAATAAATAATTTTTGTTCTCTAGCTGCAGAGATTTTATACACAAGGTATGCTTTTTATTTATTTATTTTTTGAGATGGAGTCTCATTCTGTCACCTAGGCTGGAGTGCAGTGGCACAGTTTTGGCTCACTGCAACCTCTGCCTCCTAGGTTCAAACAATCCTCCCCCTCAACCTCTTGAGGCTGGTCACGTGCCACGACGCCTGGCTAATTTTTTGTATTTTTGGTAGAGACAGGCTTTCACCACATTGCCCAGGCTGGTCTCAAACTCCTGACCTCAAGTTATCTACCCACCTTGGCCTCCCAAAGTGTTGGGACAGGTGTGAGCCACCCCACCTGGCTAAGGTATGCTTTTTTAAATTAAATGTTTCCTGTTGTGTCTTTCTTTGGTCATGTTTTTCTTTAAATCACAAATTGATTTGCTAGTGCTTATAACATACTGTGAGCTTTAGGTATAAGCTTTTCTCCCACCAATGGGAAGAACTTTTAGAAAGCCCACATATGTCTCTCAAGTATCTTGTCTATTGAGACCAGTAGTAGGCTGGTGATTATGGTTATTCTTTCCAGTTGCATCACCAGATATTTGGTTCTTGTTTCCAAACTATCTCCTTTCTCTTATACTGTGGCCCTGAATTCTACCAGTAGCTGACATTAAGAAAGCCCTAGGGAAGTTCCTTTTTTTTTTAAAAGCATGAGTAAAATCCCTTTCTAACAATGGTTTCTGTACAATGAAATCCTCTCCAGCGCTTTGTCATTGGTTCATGGAAATAGCACTTTGGTAATCAGTTTTCTTTCCTTCTCTTTTTTCTTTCTTTTAATAGTTTATTGTGATAGGAATACTTAACATGAGATCTACTCTGAACAGATTTTTCAGTGTACAATATAGTAGTATCTGCAGGCACAATGTTGTACAGCAGATCTCTAGAACTTAATTCATCTTGCGTAACTAAAATTCTATCCATCTTAAATAGTCCAACTAATAGAAATAAAGATTAGAATGGTGGTTTTCAAGGACTTAGGGAAGAAGAATTGAGGAGCTGCTAGTCAACGAGTCGTCAGTTTTTTCTACAGTGAATAAAACTTGTCAGCTACTGTACCCAAGTATAGATTGAGTAGCCCAAATTCAGAAATCTGAAATCTGAAGTGCTTCCAACTCCAAAACTTTTTAAGGGTCAGCATGACGTTCAGAGGAAATGCTCACTGAAGCATTTCAAATTTCAGATTTTTGGATTAGGGATGTTCAACTGGTAAGTTTAATCCATAGATTCCAAAATCCCCCAAATTCAAAATTGAAGACACATTTGGTCCTAAGCATTTTGGATACTCAACCTAAACATGGTTGTAGTTGAAGTAGCAAAGGAGGGGAGAGTAAATTTGGTGATTTAGTTTTCCATGAAACAGCAGTTACCTTTCTGGTACTGAGGTTTCTCTGCTAACATCTACACCACTGCCTCTACCAACCAAAATAGAACATAATAAATGAGACTCTCAAGACCTTTTTCCAAAGCACTGTCATACATAAATTCTCCAGAAGCTTGGGAGAAGGAAAGAATGGAAGGGAGGGAAGGTATGGTTAGGAATCTCTCACACCAAATTAGGAACAGTTCATTTGATGATTGGTCAAAATGCATAGCTTCTTCTCATGAACACAGCTAACCCTGCTATATTAATATCAGGTTAGCTGGGCGTGGTGGTGTGCACCTGTAGTCCCAGCTACTCAGGAGGCGGAGGCAGGAGAATTGCTTGAACCCAGGAGGCAGAGGTTGCAGTGAGCCGAGATCACGCCACTGCACTCCAGCCTGGCGCCTGGTGATGGAGCGAGACTCTGTCTCAAAACAAACAAACAAACAAACAAACAAACAAACAAAAAAACCCATTAATATCAGGAACGTCAGGAATTGGGTCCTCTGAATACCATCAACAGGATCAAAATTATATATGAGTGGAAGAAGTTACACTTAGGCTGGGCATGGTGACTCACATCTGTAATCCTAGAACTTTGGGAGGCCGAGGTAGGAGTGATTGCTTGAGGCCAGAAGTTCATAACCAGCCTAGGCAACATAGCAAGACTCTGTCTAAAAAAATAAAATAAAATAAAAAAAGAAAGAAAGAAAAAAAGAACTTACTGTAATCACCACTGTTCTTTAAGTTCTATATAGATCTTTCTTTATTCAATAAAACAAGTGGATCACTGTGTTTGTATTTTCAGTTGTGCCCCATTTGAGTGGGCAGCTCAATACTTTTGATATTACTGACCTTGTTGGTGACCATTCACCAGCTCCATCACAGCCTGATTCACCAGCATCTCCTCCATCAGCCTTTCCTCCCCAGTAATAGGCTTTTTCTCCCTTTCTCTTCATCTTCTCTAATCCCTTTCTTTCTTCTTCACCCCCATCTTTTTCACTCCTCCGTGATTTTCTCAGGGCTGGGCTTCAACATCGTCGGTGGGACAGATCAGCAGTATGTCTCCAACGACAGTGGCATCTACGTCAGCCGCATCAAAGAAAATGGGGCTGCGGCCCTGGATGGGCGGCTCCAGGAGGGTGATAAGATCCTTTCGGTGAGAACGGGCTTCGGCCTCCTTCACTGTCATTTCTCCCTAAACCCTGGGTCCTACCCCTATCCCTTTCCTTGAAAAGATTTGGACCTGGAAATATACAGGTTGTAGAACTGAATGGGAACAACTATGATCAGTCATCCTTTTCAACCCTGTCGTTGAGCATGGAGGGTAATACTATGCTCACCTGAAAGACGAGAATGTGAAACCCAGAATGTGAAGTTACTTATTCAAAAAGCACAAGGCAGGAAGCACAAGGGACTCATGGTGAAAAGGGATTTAACATTTAAAATCCATGAATTTTATCTGTCATCCATTACTTTATATAGTACCTCCTTTTGTTGATTAAAACATTAATATGTATCTTTGGGGGGAGTGTCAGCCCTTACAATTGAATTTAACTTAACTTCAAAAGACAGAAAGAAGGAAGGTTGGGAATTAAGTGTCCTTTTCAGACTCTGAGCCCTTTTTCACCCATTATTAACATGAAAATTTGGAATGCGGTTGATTTGGATAGCGGTCCACTGTGTTCCCATTTTATCCTGGTTATGGCTCTACTGAGACTTACTACATGGTAACTATTAATCTTATTCTTTTCCAGAATTTCCTCAAGGGCAGTGACAAGATCTTTGTTTTAACCTTTTGAATCATAGCACAGTGCTTAATAATGTGTAAGAAATGAACAAGTTAAGAAATTCAGGCAAACCTAAAAAGGTTTACTGATAAATATGTACCTACAGGCCTCAGCTCTTAAAATAAATTAGAATAAGCCTAAAGTCAAAACTATTAAAATGCAAAACATAACTCTGACCCTACTGTTCATTTCTCTACCTTACTATGGGCTACGCTAATCATATGATACTATCAGTTGCTGGGGAATAAGGGGGTGTCTCGGAGATAATTATTCTGTAGAATTTCTTTTTTTAGTAACCTTTAGGGCTAGTGAAAAATGGCCAACTTATTACTTGTATGGAAACAGTATAGGTGATTGGTATAAAGATTGGAAAAGTGCTGAGGGGGTGAGATATTATCTAGAATATTCGTGGGAGAGCTGGCTTCAAAGGGCTAGATAAATAAATAAAAGGAAATTGAAATAGGATAGAGCTTCTTATAGCAGAAACTCCTATCTTTTCCAGGTGGGCCATAAGCCCACGATCTGAAGAGGAGAAAACTATTCCCCGTTTTCTCTTAGAACTGAATAGGGCAGGATCGCCAGGTTGGGAAAAGGTCGAAATAAATGAGTGAAGTACAGACAGGAGAAGTCTTAATTGACAGAATTAAGTATTAGCCTCAGAGACATGATTTTGAACCTTCCTCTATAATAAGTCAGCTTCATCCCTTAAACATTTTTTGCTATATAGTTTCATTTGAATTTTCCTTTTCACACCACTTCTCATGCAGTTCCGTTGATTAGTGATTAAAGGTCATATGTGTGAAGTCTCCTGCTCCTCTTAGTTGCCAGCTTATTGAATACTTATTGGTAGCAGTACCTGAAGGCAGAGATACAAAGGAAAAGAGACAGAGAATATCTACCTTCATTTGGCATCTTGAGTATTTCAGTGATCGGGCTCAGCAGTATGGTTCTGAATGCCTCTTCAGGAAGACTATGACTCCACTTAGTCCTCACAAAAGAAAGAAAATCAGAACAAGTAGCTATTAGAGCCTCCTAAATTGACTCAAGAACATCTAAGCATATGTCCTTGCTGATCCGTAATATAAATAAAGTATGCACAGCAGTATTTCACTCCTTCTCATTGACTATTTTGCCTCTCTTCAGTCCATTAAGCTTCACTTAGACCCTATTTATTAATCTGTGAGATGGAGACAGTGATAATATACCTGTCTTCTCAAAATGATAGTGAAAAGCTTAGAAGCAGATTATTTCCTTTAGCTCCCAGGGAAAGACATTCTCCCAATATGAATTAACTTGGTGGTAGTACTATAAGGAAGTGCTGAGAGTGGGTTGTTAAAATAAAGGTGTAGCATTTAGTTAGAATCTGTGCATCTTAATATTTTGACACATAAATTACATTCTCTTCAGATCACTGGAACCTGGGCTCTGTTGATGAAGAAAGACTTGAATAATATAGGAGTTAAGAAGAGAAAGAAGAGAGCCATATTTATTATTATTATTATTATTATTATTATTATTTTAATTTTATTTTATTTTTTGAGACGGAGTTTCGCTCTTGTTACCCAGGCTGGAGTGCAATGGTGCGATCTCGGCTCACCACAACCTCTGCCTCCTGGGTTCAAGCAATTCTCATGCCTCAGCCTCCTGAGTAGCTGAGATTACAGGCACGTGCCACCATGCCCAGCTAATTTTTTGTATCTTTAATAGAGACAGGGTTTCACCATGTTGACCAGGATGGTCTCGATCTCTTGACCTCGTGATCCACCCGCCTCGGCCTCCCAAAGTGCTGGGATTACAGGCTTGAGCCACCACGCCCGGCCGAGAGCTATATTATTTTAAAAGCTTTGGTTAAAGGTAGATTATTGCAGAATGAGAATGGTGAGAAGTATGTCAGCCCTAAATGTCAAGTAGCATGCTAAGAACCCAAATTTATTTTGTTTAATATTATAGTAACCCTATGAGGTGGGCATGATTATTGTGCCCAAGTCGTTTGCCCAAGGCCACACAACTAGTAAGCAGCAAGGGACTAAAACTGGTTTGTCTGAATTTGTAGCCTTTGTTTATTAACAACTATGTTATACTGCCTCCTAAAAGGTAAATCAGGAGCTAGGATTACTTATCCTAAAGACAGAGTTACACAGTGAATTAATAGTAGATTGCATGTATGGTTTTATATAAAAACTAAAGTTAGGCCCGGTGCAGTGGCTCATGCCTGTAATCCTAGCACTTTGGGAGGCTGAGGAAGTTGGATCACTTGAGGCCAGGAGTTCGAGACCTGCCTGGCCAACATTGCAAAACCCCATGTCTACCAAAATAACAAACAAACAAACAAACATACAAAAAATTAGCTGGGCATGGTGGCGCATTCCTTGGTGCATGCGCCTGTAGTCCCAGCTACTCAGGAGGCTGAAGCACAAGAATCACTTGAACCTGGGAGGTGGAGGTTGCAAAGAGCTGAGATTGCGCCGGTATACTCCAGCCTGGGCGGCAGAGTGAGACTCTGTCTCAAAATAAATAAATAAAATAAGATAAGACCTGAAATTAGTCTTTCTATAAAGCATAGAATTAGAAAGAAGGAAATAAACCTAAACATAAAAAAAGTTATTAGATATAAACCAAGATGAGGAACCTTGTGTGAATCATTGCCTCACAGAGAAAAGAAATTAATTGGAAGGCCTCTCAGGTTTTCAGGAAGGGCTGGGGCCACTGATAAATGGTGGGAGATAAATGTCAATGAAGAGAAAAGTAGATGTCTGAATTCATAGCAAAGAGGATTTTACTTTACTAAAATATAAGAAACATAAAGATATATACAAGATATTAAATATTACGAAGATACGTTACAAGGAATGATATGTATATATTCTGGCCATTTAAGGAAAAGGCATGCAAAAGAAGAGAGGGGACAAAGCCAGGGGAAGGAGAGGCAGCAACAGAAGACATACGTGGGGGTGTATTCGTGTGTTTCATACTGCTCTAAAGATACTACGTGAGACTGGGTTAATTTATAAAGAAAAGAGGTTTAACTGACTCACAGTTCCACTTGGCTGGGGAGGCCTCAGGAAACTTAAAATCATGGTGGAAGGTGAAGGAGAAGCAAGTACCTTCACAAGGTGGCAGGAGAGACAGTGAAGGGGGAAACACCAGACACTTAACAAACAACCAGATCTAATGAGAACTCTTTCACCATCACGAGAACAGCATGGGTGAAAGCGCCCCCATGATCCAGTCACCTCCCACCAGGTCCCTCCCTTGACATGTGAGAATTACAAGCGTTTGCTTCAAAATTCTTCTTTCTAGATCCCATTCCTTAAGAAATATTATGAAACAGTCTGTTGCATCATTCACCCCTAATATCCTATTCCCTCTCTGTCCTTAAGTGAACATCTAGGCTATAACCATTAAATGTACTTAAGTATTTATTTATTGCTGGCTTTGACGTCTCTGTAAAATGATGCGAAATTATGTATTAGTCTGTATTCCCATTTAGTTTTTATGTGCTTTCCTGTTCTCCTCACATGGGTTATTTTTCCGTGTTGTAAAATATGCTCCATTTCCCCCCACTAATATTTGCTAGATAAACTAAAAATATGTCTCTTTCTTAGCACATATCTGTTTTAGATAGCTGATATAAGTAACATTAAGTGACATGGAAATTTCCTGTGAGTTATTAACTATTAATCTTTTCATTCTCCCTAAATAATTTCCACATATTATTTACTTTCATTCTCCCTAAGTAATTCCCACATATTATCCCACATATAAGCTGAGACGAAGAACCTTACATGGCTGTAATGCCCACATATTATCTTGTTTCAAGTTCTAAAATTAAGTAACTGCATGGCTTATGTAGTTTCCTCTTTCTCATCAAAAGTGAAATTTCATTTTTTATGATCACTGTGAATGATTTAAACTTGAAAGAAAGAAAGGAAAGAAAGAAAGATTGATTTTCTTAAATAATGAAGGTAAATTATTTTTAAGGCCATGTTGCACCTAACAACCGTGAAATAAAAATGAATATTACCAACGGAAGAACAGACATGAAGTCGAGATGAGGGCTGGAAATTCCTCACCCATAGTTCATTTTGTATGTGTATGCTGATGAGAATGGTTTATTATTAGAATAGTTTGCAATAATAAACCAATATGGAACCTGGGATAGTTTTATTTTTATTTTTAGGAAAGTAAACTGTCTAAATTTCTCATTCCTTGTGTGTCTGCCTAAATGAAGAAAGGTGAAGAATAGTCAATCCTCAGTGAACATGACATTTTTATTAAGCTCAGGTGACACAGCTGCCCATACTGCACAGTGAAATGTTCCATTTTAACATGGAACAAGGCTCTTATATAACAAAATGGCACAGATTGG